CCTTCCCCCGTTTGTCAGGCGAACACCCTCCCTTTTCTCGCTTTTCTCTTTTTCTCCGCAAAAACGTAGTGAGCTTAAAACGCCGGGCAGAGGCCGATGGCTTCAGGAAGATTTAGCCGCGGACGAAGCAATCCGATAATGGAGATTAAAGTATCCCCCGGCTGGGCTGTGAGGGAAAGTTCAGCCACACGGAGAATTAAGGGATATATTTATTTTTAGTAGCTATTCCCCCGTCCTTCGCTTTTCCCTCCAGCTTTCCTTCGAGTGGTAAATCACCAAGGTCAATAAGCTGCCTTGACAAACAGGATAACCTCTGACAGAAATACCTCTTTTTCTCTCTCTTTTTTTTTTTTTTAAATAAAACTCCTCACTTACGGGCTGTAATGGACACTCCAGCAAAATAAAGACGTAAGCTGCTTGAAGCCAGGTCTGGCTGAAAACTTGGGTTTTGGGAAATAGGGCTGCGGGATGCTGTAATCAGTGCGGGCACAATGAAGGAAAGCTGGGATAGAAAATGTCAAAGCCCTGCTTGCAGGCGTATGCATCTATTTTCAGAAATAGGGTGGGTTGTTTTGGGGTTTTTTTTCCCTTTTTTTTAATAAACCAGCATATCTTGCAGCCTCGTAACACGCTTGTGTAACCGGCTGCATCGGTTTCACCTTGTGTTATCAAAAGCACGGCGTGCTTTAAAAATACATCGTGGTGCTGGGTGTTTCAGTTTTACAGCGAAAACGGGAAAAAAAGGAGAATATTGCGTTATTTTTTTAATATACTCCGCCTGTGCTGCATAATGAACCTGGAGAAATTCAGGGCTTGGGCTGTTCCCAGAGTAATCCCTGCTGGTTTTCCCCCACTCTCCCTTAGCCAGCAGGATCACACCACTTTCCATTTAAGAAATGTTCGTTTTTTAGGTTGTGGCGAAGGTGGGAAAGTGCAGAAAACGGGTCTGAACGTGCTGCAGGGAAGGACGACGGTGCAGCAAGCCGGCTGGAATACAGTTGCAATTAACCCAGGTCGACCAAAGGAAAAACCCAGTTTTCCTCCAGCTCTCTCCATCCCTTTAAAAAAAAAATAAACCCCCAAACCATCATCAGCACTAAGCACCCAACCCTCCTCCCAGCACCTTTTCCAGCCAGCAGAGCCCCGGCGGCCGCTTCGGCCTCAGTTTCCCCTCCCGCAACGTTTCCCACTCGGCAGCCGGCTCCTTCCCGGCACCTTGGAGGCGGTGATGGCAGAGCGAAGGCACGCGAGGAATCTGGCTCATCTCTCCCTCTCTGCTCTTCATGTTCTCACGGCTGACCGGGACGAAAGGCGCTTCCCAGCCCATTTTCCCTTTACAGGCTCGCTTTCCTCGCGCCGCACCAAAACCTTCGGCTCGCGATCAAAACCTTGCAAAAAGGCCTTATTTGTTACGAAGCAACACTTTGACCGCCGATTTAAAAATACTACAGCCGTGCCTGTCAGCTCCTCCTTTAATTTAAAAGCTCTTTTTAAAAACCGGAGTGTTTAAAAACCTTGAGTTGCAAGATAACCTTTGGGGTTTTTTTTTTTAGTGTGATAACACTATCATATTCCTGGGAACAAATTGGGCTTGTAGCGGGGTATGGTATCGGATGCCTTCGCTGGGAAAGCCTGGGGAAATTTTATCCCCCGGCCGCACCCAGCCTGAAGTGAAGAAATATTTGCATTTGCTTCTCCTTGGAGCGCACCCAGCTCCCTCCCCGCTCTCCTGGGCCTGCCAAGAGGGATTGCAAGGAAAGACGGGATTATTGCAGCAGCCGAGAGAAGGGCAGGGCCGCGGCCGCGCGATTCGGAGGCGTACGATCCTCTTTGCCCTTTTGCACCGCTGCTGGAAGGAGACAAGCGAGACCTCGAGCGGGTTTTTACGCCTGGGCAAAGGCTTTGGGGCAGCTCCCAGGGCAGAGCAGGAGCTTCGCATTGCTCTGTGCATGATTTGTACTTGTTTTATTTTTGCTAGCAAACCTGGGCGCTTGCAAAAGCGCTTGCAATGGGGCGAGGAGCCCAAGGACGGGCTGAGCCGTCGCAGCTGACGTGGGCTCACCCGGCAGCAGGATAGGACCCAGCTCCCGCAGCCTCACCCCTGGAAAACGTCCTCCACGCAGCTCGGCCGGCACTGGAAATTCCTCGAGATTCTCCCTGGGGAAAACGCGGGGTCGTGCTTTTCAGGCATAGCGACGCTCCCCGTGCCTCGGCTCGTAATGCTTCTCCCCTTACCCGAGAAGGAAATGGCTTAAATCAGTCTTTTGTCATCTTACCTCCATGTCCATCCATCCCTGTCCTTTGTCATCTTCCACTCCTGGAAAAAATCTGACCACTTCTGCGTCCCTTCGCCGTGCCACCAAACCCTCCAGCTGCACCTTGCCCTTCTCCTCGCCCTCCAGCATCTTCTCCAAGGCTTCATGTTGATAAGAACCTTGCCCTGCCTACCTCCGGCCAAAAATTGCCGCAGTCCCGGTGCTAACAGCCCATCCTGGCTTGCTCTGCGGGGGAAATACCCGACCCCTTCCCACCATTCGCTCTGCAGAGGAGTACCGTAGCTTGCCGAGCACCCAAGGGTGCTGCGCAGAGGGACTAAGCCAGCGTGCAGTGCAATAACGCATCCAAAATGCTGCTCAGCATCAGCGTTTCCATCCTCCCCAAAAACCTCGTTTGGAAAAATACCCGTACCGCAAAAAAAACAAGCAACGCTTTGCTCTCTGGGGCTTCCCTTCCCCACTCCCTTTGGCCACCACCAAGTCTGCCCACGTCTTTTTACTTTTTTAGCATCATTTTGGTGCCTGGTTTTCCCCACAGGGCGAGAGGCTTTGGAAAGCAAGAGCTGACTTCAAGCACGGGAATTCCCCGGCGTGGGACACGGGGTCCCCATCCAGCCGGACCCAAAGGCACCTACTTACGTGACCGGGACAGACCGCAACTTTACTTTAACGTCCTATTTATAAGTAAGTTTATAGCGAGTTCTGACCTGATTGATGGGCTGTAGACCCACATTAACGAACGTTGAGTAACAGGCTTTGTAGGTGAGGAGAGTTGGCAGGAAATAGTTGCGGGGTTGGTGTGATTAATCAACCAGCCCGCCAGACTCCAGCGCATACATTAACCATACATTAACCCTTTAATTCATAAATACAGCACGCGCTTGAGAGACATTATACAACGTGACCTAGAAGCATATGGTTGCTGCTTTGGTGGTTGGGGTTTTTTTTAGCAGCTCCCTTTTTTTAAAATCAGGAAGGCATTAAACATCGTCTCAGATGCTCTTGCTATTTTCTGCTCTCAATTTGTGGCTTTTTAAACGCTTTCGGTTGAAAAGAAAACCCCTTTTTCTCCGGCTGGTTTGCAACGCCCTCGCAAACAAAACCCGCTGAGCACCGGTGACATCGGTTGCACAGATGTTGGACACAGAGAAATGGTTTAATTTCTGCTGGTTTGGGGCTCGGACCGAGAGAAGATCAAAAAGTTTCTGGTGGTGGAATGATATTATCTTGGATAATGGGCAAAAATGGGGCTGTTGGTCTTTCCCGGCATCCCGGCGCTGTCGGATATAGGAGAGACAGCGTTTAGCTGGAGATTTTCTGTCTGACGGGGGAATTTGTGCTCCGGCTGCCCTCTGCCGGCTCCGGGACTTGGTTGAGATGGAGCCCAGACAGCGCAGGCTGTCAGCAAAAAAAAAATCACCACCAAACACCCCTTCATCAACACCACGGCACATCGCAAAATCCCGAATCCGACCCTCCGCTCTCCTCCTGGGTGACAGCAGCATCTGCCAAATCACTGCACCCCAAAATGAGCCGCGTCACCGCCCCGAGCGACCTGACTTTTGCCACGCCTGTAAAAATCTAAAAAGTAGCGCTTTTTTTTCTTATTTTTAGACTTGCATTTTACAGGTTTGGGATGCAGGGCGGATGAAAGAAATGAAGGTTTTTAAACTCGGGGTTTTATTTAACTGCGAGTAACTAAATCAGTGCTTGCTCTCTGCATCACCGCAGAGAGAAATGTTTCAGTGAAACCCCAAGGAAGCTTGAGAAGAAAGAAAAAAACACCAAAGGAAACCAAACCGGCCTCAGAAAAGGAGTTTAAAAAAAGAAATAAGTGAACAAAACCTCAGCTCCTCCACCACCGCTGCTCTGCCAGGGCTTTCTATGCTTGTAACAAGCGCAGAGCCGTGCCGGGACACATCATCTGCGCTTCTCTGCCTGGCCAGCCCGGCAGGACGGGGTCCTGGGTACATTTTGGTGAGGAAAACTCCGATCCTGCAGCTATTTGGGGGTGTGGCGGGCAGCCGGGACCGGCCCTGGGGTGCATCCCTGTGGGTGCACCCCCTTTTTGGTGTCCGGTGCTGGGAGACGGAGGTCAAGCTGTGGTTTTTTAGCAGGATGACTCGTTTCGCCGGCGGACGTGGCAGGACTTGCAGAGAAGGTGGTTGTCCAGGGGGTAGCACCCGTTCTCCGTCGGCTCCGGCGACAGCGGCGTCCCGCAGCTCTGCGGGCGAGAGGGGAAGGAGAGGCCGCGTTTTAAGATTCTCCTGC